GTGGCAAGAAAGGTCGTAAAATAGGGCAAAACTCACTTAACAGATGTCTTATTTAACAATAGAAATGTTGGGCTTGATTGTGGGCATAAATCAAGGACTATCTATAGATGCTACGTTGCTATTTAAAATTGCTTTAAAGCCATGAGGATAAAATGGCAGGCTGTTTTCGAATTAAGGAGCCTTTCTACATGATCATTTTATTAAACAGGCTCTGCCGGTTGTAAACTGTTGACAGCCAACCAGGGGTAATGCAGTGCAAAATCTGAAACACTCCCCCCCTTACCATACTGTGAAAACCAGAGATATTTTTCCCTCGGTACTTTAATCCCTGATGAAACTTTCATTCTAACCAGGTTCACCCAGTGTTATTCAGATTCTGCTTTCTCACAGGATGGACTACAGATAGTTTGCCTCCTAGCTGTGTTTCACTCAGCACAGCTTAAAAAAAGAAGCCTTTAAATGCATCTGTAGTACTATCAGGATTTGTTGGGTAAACATATTTCATAGAGCCGTGATGACAAACCTATGTCACGCGTGCCGGAAGTGGCACACAGAGCCATCTCTCTGGGCATGCCAGCTGTCGCCTGTTGCTCTTCTGGGTTCCAGTGCGCACATGTGCACTGACCAGCTGGTCTTTGTGTGCACGGGAGCGTCGGAAACCGGAAGAGCAGTTCCCTGACGCGCATGTGCACGCCGGGAAGCTGAGCTTCTGGTTTCCGGCATGTTCATGCATGCTGGACAGCTGGTCTTCGTGCGCACATGCATGCCAGAAGCAGAAGACAAGGTGACCAGAGTGCATGCACATGCCGGAAACCAGCAGCTCAGCCAGGGAATTGCTCTTCCTGTTTCTGGTGCTCCCCTGTGCACGCGCTCCCATTTCAGCACTCGGTACCGAAAAGGTTCACCAACACTATCATAGGTAAAGGTAAAGGTTCCCCTTGCACATATGTGCTAGTTGTTCCTGACTCTAGGGGGCGGTGCTCATCTCCATTTCAAAGCCGAAGAGCCAGCGCTGTTCAAAGATGTCTCTGTGGTCATGTGGCTGGCATAACTAAACGCTAAAGGCGCATAGAACGCTGTTACTTTCCCACCAAAGGTGATCCCTATTTTTCTACTTGAATTTTTTATTTGCTTTCGAACTGCTATGTTGGCAGAAGCTGGGACAAGTAATGGAGCTCACCCCGTTATGCAGCACTAGGGATTCAAATTGCTGAACTGCCGACCTTTTGATCGACAAGCTCAGCGTCTTAGCCACTGAGCCACTGTGTCCCTCAACTATCACTGTCATAGAGTGTGCTAAATTTGTGCTATGCTGAAGAGAAAACTTTTTGCTTTATTTTTTCATGATGAGAGATGGATAGTTTGTTAATTCACAGGACTCTGGGAAAATCTCACAAGGGAGCCTTGGCTGTCATTTCTCAGTGCTCAGCTATTGGCTAAATTCAGCACTGCACTGATTGCTTGCCTGAAGGTGCTCCCTGAAAGCTCCAATTTTGCTGAACTGGGAGGATGGAGTAAGAAAATTGTAGGTTGTATTTAAAATATTTTGAGAAGGACTTGCAAGTGGAATGGGAGGTTGTGTGGCAGAATACTGTAATCAAAGCATTTTCCTTCTTTCTGCTGCAGATTATTTCACAGAACATCTTGGAGAATACAGACATGTTTTGTCTGCACTGGAACAACTCAACATCGCTGTCTTATCAGCTATGGATAAAACCAAACTGGTAAGTGTGAGTTCATTTCCAATATTATTCTTATGGATGGCTTTAATTAGCTTCCTTTACCTTCTTTTGAATATACTTGGTGCAACGTAATGGACATCAAAGTAAGGTATATTCCAAGCCTTTATTGCGTTCATGGGAATGTGTATTTCAGAGATCAATTAAGGGGAAATTAGTTTAATCAGTTCCAGCCTGGGACAGGGCTTCACAGAGGCAATTCGCTAAGTGCCTTTGGGTCATTTATAATATTCAAAGTCCCAAAAGTATATAAAATGGATCATTTTTCTATTTTAAATTGCTCTCATACACATAAGGCCCAGGTTTCTTTTTGTAATCCTAAACACAACTATTAAAGTATAGGCTTATTTCAGAAACATGAATTGGATAGCAGAAGAGAGAGAATGGCTTTCAGAATGCTTGTAGAGAGTTACCTAATGATAGAAAAAGATAGGTGTGTGGGTTCCAGATAGTTTCTATTCAATGAAAAAAACAACCTGGCTCAATAAGACAGCAATAACACATACTGTATAGTTATGGACTCCAAATGGAAAGTTATTGTAGAATGTTAGCTTGCCACAAATTTGATCTTTCAGATGGACCTGGAAGAAGGAATGTACCACCTATGAATTCAGAACTCTATGTGGTTACTAAACCTGTTGATACAAATTCCATAATTCCTCTAAATGTTTCTACCTAGTCATAATTTATAATGTAATGAAAAAATGAAATTGTTACATAAATAAATAGCAATTACATTGGCAGCTTTCAGTTGTACTGATTCTATTTAAATTAAGTCAGTTTTAGGTTTTGGTCCTACACATCTTTTTTTCTTGGGCCTTACCATATTTTTGCTGCAGATACTGACACATGATTCAAAGTCCAAATGCAGTCTTGACCACATAAACAGAAATCAATCATAATGAGAGAGAGAGAAAAGAAAACTGTAGAATATGAAATACTTCTCTTTTTATCCATTGCCAGCAGCAGTTTTATTTGGTAAATGGAGTAGGAAAAATGTTCATAATTTACATACATTGCATTTGTTGGTAATGGATCACACTAGGTTTTACACAGCAAGCTGAAGTTTGTGTTTAAAAAAAAAAAAAAAGTTGGCCACGCCCACCCAGTCACATTACCCCACCACCACCAAGCCACACCCACAGAACCGGTAGTAACAAAGTTTACATTTCACCACTGGAGTATACAGTCTTGTTGCACTCCTTTGACAACCTGGAGCCCCTCTGTTTCATGATATTCTTTCCATATTCTCATCTGCAATAATGTCTTATATTCTTCTGCCTTTTCTAAAGTTTGAACATCTGGTATCTTTTTTCCATGTTAAGTTTCTAATCGACATTGTGGATGATCTTTAATATCACTTTCTATGTATTTTACTAGCATGTGATATTAAGGATACAGTAAGATAGTTTGCACACTATGTTAAGTTTCTATCTATGGGTGTGGGGGATTGGAATGTCAATTGACCTCTTCCAATTTGTTGACCATTCTACAGACTTTCTACAGACTTGCTAATACTGTATAGCTTATGTGTCATTCTACAGACTTGCTAATACTGTATAGCTTATTTAGAACTTTACGGATTCTTCTTTTATTGCTTGCCATAATTCATTGGATATTCTGTCAGTTCCTGTAGCTTCCTGTTCCTTAATGACCAGAATGCTGATCTAATTTTATCTTCTAGTATTAGGGGTTCTTGTAATTAAGGAATATCTTTTAAGATATTCTGAATGTTGGCATCTCTACTATACATTATTTCCAATTTCGGTAGATCTCCTTTGAGTTATTTATTATCTGTCAATCAGTGTCAGATTGAAGGTTGGCATGTCTCTTCTAACAGCTGTCTCAAACTCTTTGTAAAGATTCTTTTTGAGGTTTTTATCTTTGCTGGCTTTGATTCCTTTTCTCTTCTCACCATTAACTTACTCAGGTAAGTGAGTACTTACTTAATTACTTACTCATTTACTTACTTACTAGTGAAAGTAATTTAGATAGGAAATTTAGATAGGGAAATTTTTATTTTGTTTCAAAAGTTTTTTGATCAATAACAAAAAAAAATGAATGTTTCCTAGTATCATTTGAAAAAATACATTTATAACTATACTTGCAATTGTATTTTCAATATTATTTATTAACATATGAAACAGATTTTAAAAAAAATAAAAATTAGAATTTTTTTTTTTATTTTCTCAGTTCCTCCTCTTTCAAATGCTTCCAAGACATCTGAAACTGTTAGTGAGAGCCCTGATACTGGTAGTTGTAGTGGCACTGAATGGCAGTGGGAGGAACAAGCTCTTCTATGATTTTTTAGGGTCCCCCCCCATTTTCTTTATATCATGATGTGCAGAAACTTTCATCTTTAGAACATGACTTTGAGAAGCACTCCTCATTTAGCAACTACTTCAGTTAGTGATCATTCACAAATATGTCAGTAATAAAGACCAATGTCCTTATTTATGACTAAATTATGTATGCCTGACAGTAACACATGCCAGAGTGAGAATATTGCTGGCATAGTTGTTAAATAACTTTATTTGAATGAGACCGTAGTGAGCAGTGATCTTTTCTGTGTGTCTACCTCTCTCTCTCTTTCTCTTTTGAATGCAATGTGATTGCTAAACAATAAATGAGACAAAGAAATAAATGATAATTACATTCTATCTATGCATTTCTCTGGAGATTATCCATTAGTTTTACCTATTGTTCCCAACAGCCTCATTTTAGTGCTTTCATTAAATAAGATTGCTGGATAGTTATACTTTGTAATATATTTGTTTGTTCCCTTTTGAAATACTTTCATAATTCAATTCAAAGACTGAGATGATAATTAACCTTTTTTGCAATGCAGACCTATGTGTCTTTATGTAGACACAAATCATGGTTGGTGCATGTATTTTTAGTTAAGTATGTAGAACAGTCTTCCTCAATTTGATGCCTGCTAAGTATGTTGGATGTTGAAATGTTCACTTAATATAGGGACATGATGGGGAAACAGATATATAAGCTTGCAGCTTTATGTTTAAAGTTTAATAAAATGCATGCTGATATGGGTAAATAATTTATAAAACTATTGTTAAGTATTTATAAGTATTGTATTTCAGATTTTCTAAGAAACCATTAATCTTGAAATACATTGGTAAACTATTTCACAAATAAATTATGTACAGATAAGTTGATGCTATACATGTACCTGCTAAATATATAGTACTATTCAACTGAATCAGTTTAAATCAAGCTTTAACTATTTTTCCTTTATTTTAGAACTGCAGTGTTCTACTAAAGTCATAAAAGCAGGAAAGTTGAAGATAAAGAAACCCAGTAAGGCATGTATCGATACAATTTAAGTTCAATATTCTATTATTAAAAATTCAGTTGTGTGTATATTTATATTCTGACTTTGATTATAAAATGTATATAACTATCCTAAATACTTGGTTGACTGTTTTTAATTACAAAATAATGTAAAATGGCTTAAGGGTATAACACAAGTTTAACGCTTAGGAAAATGGCTAGTATTAGTGAGTATTTTTATTATAGCTAAGCATTAGAATATAAATTAAATACAAAGCCTATTGTATTCTGCAGAATCTTTAAAGTTCACTTAAAATCAAAGTATAAATTCCTTTGGGCTGGTTTGTTGAGATTTGTTGTATGCTTGTTCTCTACTAATGCCCTTGTACCTCAGGGGTTCAAAAGAAAGACTATAGCAACACAGATAATTTTCTTAAAGGGCAGGAGAAAGAGTCACTACCAAGGCAACAATTATACAAATGTAGTTTGAGCCAATTTCAAGAAAATAATTTGAACAAACATTCTCAAACTTTTAAAGAAGCACTTAATGTAATGAATGACTTCTTCAATTTAACTGCCTGTACCATATTTTCTGAATATATCTAACTATGCAAAGATTATTCCAACAAGTCTCTATTTTGTTTAAACAGACTCCTAATCAAACTAACTCCTGGATGTAATACTTTTCTAAAAATACCAATCAATAAATGATTAAAACAAATCTCAGCAATTTTAGAAATATTTTTTGCAGCAAACAGTAGCATTTTTGACTTTATCTGTTTTTTTAATGCAGGTATGGCTCTCCGTCTTCACATTCATATTCAGATTATTCTTGTGAATTCTGATTTCTGTGTTAGAATTTTAAAATGTTCTCATTTCTTTTCTTTCCTAAAAGATGTGCTTCCTTTCCATATTCCATGTCAATTCCTCGTGAGAAAGTATTCTTTATAACTACACTTTCCTGGTGACAGTAAACTTTGGTGCTGATGGAGTTAGTGGGTTTGACTTTTTCTGACTGAAGGCTTCCAGAGTTCTGAACCTATTAGTATCTCTACTGCTGAAAGAGGAGGACATCCTAATCCTTTAAAGCTCTTTCCTCTCTGCTTTGAAAAATGTACTCATAATTTATTTTATTTACTACTTCAAAATGTAATCATAGCTTCCCATTTTATGATTATGATTAAATTACAACTGTCCAAGACATATACATAAATCACCTCTGGGCTATTTTAAATAAGAAAGAAATGTTCTTATTCCTGATAGTTTACCTAGGTAAACTGCCTTCATCTGAAGCTGTGTGTATTCAATGTTTCAAATCTTTTTTTTCCTCCAACACATATTTGTTGCAACAAATGAAAAACAAGAAGAATAAACCCAGTAATTTTTTAGGCAGACTAGCAGGTGATAAACTGTTTTTTCTTCTCTGGTGTGTTTAAATGCTGTTCAATCACAATGCTTCATTATCATTTATTCCTTCCAGTCTAAATTAATAACAAGGTTGTGTCTGGTCACTAATGCTGCATTATTTAATATAGAAAACATTTTGAAAAAAAAGATAACCAAATAAAATAGAAAACAAATGCCTCATCAGCTACATTCAGAACAGTCAGAAAACTCAAAATGACACCATTCAGAATGGCTACACTTGGTTTCAGGGTATTTGATTCTGATTTAATAGGCTTTTTTCTTGTCAAGTAATAAAAAAGCTGTAATTACTTAGTATAATTTTTTGTGATTCACAATTGCATATGTTTTTAAGGGACTTGACTGTCACATCTACCATGGCATTGTTTTCCAAATTACTATGGCAGTACTGATAAATTCAAAAAAATTAATTCAATTCTGCCCACCCCCAAAATCTATGTAGAAAATACGTGAATTCATACCTTTTTCAAAAGCTGTTTCAGGTTTTAAGTATTGCTACTATTCTGTTCTTAAATTCCATATTGTCTCTTTTCCTTCATAGATATTTATTTATTAGTCGCATTTTTATGCCGCCCAACTTCCGAGGGACTCTGGGCGGCTAACAACAAAGAATAAAACAATGCGAACAATATCCCATACAAAAGTTTAAAAAGAAAACAATAAAACCCATACGCTCCAATTCGTCGCCGGGTCTCGCAGGATCACCATAGCGAGATCAACGGCCCCAGGCCTGCCGGAAGAGCCAGGTCTTCACCACTTTCCGGATATACATGTTTTTAAAGATATATAACCTTATACAGTAAGGCTACCATTATACTTAGGACTATTGCAGCATTTCTGCAGTCACAGTGTCAAAATCTCAGGGGGGGGGGGCCGTGGTTTAGCAACCAGTGCGTGTTTATGACTATTACAGAGCCCTGCAGTCATGTGATTCTCATTTGCATGCTTCATAGGTGGCTTCCATGAAGTAAAGTCAATGAGAAGCCAGCAGTAAAATCACAAATTTTGGTAATTTGATGTCTCAATTAATGACCATGGGTGATTTGCTTAACCATTGTGGCAGAATGAGGTTGTAAATCCGTCATGGACTGTAATGTCTCATTTAGTGACTCACCATTTAGCAATGGAGTTGCCAGTCCCAATTGTGGTTGTTAGGGTGAGTAGTACCTGTATTTGCTCTGTACATCTTGTCATCCTGTTGTAATAGTGAAGACAGTTATTAATAATATTATCTGTAATCTAGTTGCTATATATGAGTACATTGACAATTATGAATATTTTCCTGCTTGTTTTTGAATAAATATTGAATGAACATTAAGTTGTTTTTTTATTGCTGCAGGCAGATTATTTCAATGATGCAACAAATTGGCCAACACCAAGTGAAATTGCAAGCTCTGAGGTAAGTTCATTTTTGGGGGGGAAATTCACCACAGCTTTAGTTTTCTATGTTATTATAGAAGGAGTTGTTTGTTCTACACTTCTCTAGAAGAGAGTGTGAATATATACTTTTTGCTGCTCATAACATTCTACTGGTGGTCTTTCCTGTCTAGAATATTCATAGTTTTATTTCTTTAGTTAATCATAGAACCTTTGGTTCTTTCACTTTGTGGAAAACTGTACTATTTATTTTTTAAAATCTTAAATAGCAACAGTAATACTTACACACTGATAGCTTTTCCCCCCTCTATAGTAAAGTTTGTTGTCATTAGCCATATGATGTACCGTATTTTCCGGCGTATAAGACTGGGCGTATAAGACGACCCCCGAATTTTCCTGTTAAAATATAGGGTTTGGGCTATACTCGCCGTATAAGACTACCCCTCTTCCAACGCACACCAAATAAAAATTAAAAAACATCAACTGGCTCACCCACAATGTAAAAGCAGCTGTGCTAGACCCAAAATGGCCCCTGAAACAAGCAGGAACCTCACACAGCCACAAAAAGCCCAAAAAAACAACTTTCACACTTTACACACACACAACACAACACAACACAACAACACAACAGGCTCACCCACAATGTAAAAGCAGCTGTGCTAGACCCAAAATGGCCCTTGAAACAAGCAGGAACCTCACACAGCCACAAAAAGCCCAAAAACCCAACTTTCACACTTTACACACATAAAATTCCACATACAGCTTTGTGAGATTTTGTGTGTTTGTGTAGTTAGAGTGAAACACTACAAAAACATACTAAATCTCAGAAAGCTGCACAAATATTATTTTATTTTATTTTATTTTTATTTTTATATGAAAGCTTCCTAAACTTTAAATGGCTAGGTCTAAAAAAGAACAACTAAAAAAACCCCCAATTAACTATTTTTTTTTAAAGATCCCAAAGGGGAAAAAAACTTACCCAACAGAACAGGGGTCTCCAACCTTGGCAACTTTAAGACTTGTAGACTTCAACTCCCAGAATTCCTCAGACAGCTTTGCTTTGCTGGCTGAGGAATTCTGGGAGTTGAAGTCCACAACTCCCTGCCTGCTTGATTGCAGGCAGGGAGTTGCTTGCTGATGGAATGGATTCAGGCAAGCGAAGCAAGGCAAGTAAAGCAAGACAAGCAGCTAAGGTAAGCAAGCTGGAGGGGGAAAACTTTTTTCCTTCTCCATGGCTCTGGCGATCCCAGCTGAGTTGCCTGATTAGCAGATCGTCAGGGCTTGGATCGTCAGAGCCTGTGAAAGGAGAAAAGTTTTTTCCTTCTCCATGACTCTGGCGATCCCAACTGAGTTGCCTGATCAGCAGATCGTCAGGGCTTGGATTGTCAGAGCTATGTGAAAGGAGAAAAGTTTTTTCCTTCTCCATGACTCTGGCGATCCAACTGAGTTGCCTGATTAGCAGATCGTCAGGGCTTGGATCGTCAGAGCCATGTGAAAGGAGAAAAGTTTTTTCCTTCTCCATGACTCTGGCGATCCCAACTGAGTTGCCTGATCAGCAGATCGCCAGGGCTTGGATTGTCAGAGCTATGTGAAAGGAGAAAAGTTTTTTCCTTCTCCATGACTCTGGCGATCCCAACTGAGTTGCTGCTGATTAGCAGATCGCAGGGCTTGGATTGTCAGAGCCATGTGAAAGGAGAAAAGTTTTTTCCTTCCTCCATGACTCTGGCGATCCCAACTGAGTTGCCTGATTAGCAGATCGCCAGGGCTTGGATTGTCAGAGCCATGTGAAAGGAGAAAAGTTTTTTCCTTCTCCATGACTCTGGCGATCCCAACTGAGTTGCCTGATTAGCAGATCGCCAGGGCTTGGATTGTCAGAGCTATGTGAAAGGAGAAAAGTTTTTTCCTTCTCCATGGCTCTGGCGATCCCAACTTAGTTGCCTGATTAGCAGATCGCAGGGCTTGGATCGTCAGAGCCATTTAAGGCTCGTCAGAGCCTTTTGGGCTGGTCTGCCTGGTTACAGGAGAACGACACCCGGCGTATAAGATGACCCTCGACTTTTGAGAAGATTTTCATGTGTTAAAAAATCGTCTTATACGCCGGAAAATACGGTATTTATTTTAAAAGCATATTTGAAATAAAAAGTCATATTTACTTTTGATTGGGAGCCGCCCAGAGTTGGTTATAAGATGGGGTATATATAATTTTTTAAAATAAATAAATAAAAATAAAAGAGCTGGCATGCTTGAAGATAGTTGAAAAAGCTTCGACTGTGCTTAACAAGGACATTTAGAAATTACAAAAAATTAGACCTTTCTGTAATCATTTTGCAGCTAGTCTCTATTGCTGACCTTGGTCACTAGCAAGAGAGATCAAGCACCTGTTTTAGAAGTCAAAATGAATGGGTAAGAAGTTATTAGTTTAAAAAATGCAAGACCCTACAAGTGTCTCTTTGGATCTTGTTCCCATCATGATATGTAAAGAAAAAAATGGATCTTGTTCCCACTATTATCTGCAAAGAAAATTAATACACTGCTCATAGAAAGTTTATACCTGAAGCAGATTTGAAGAAATAATAATTGGGACTTTGTGCAAATTACCTTTGGTAAATAAGGGAAATAAGGTCATTTGATGAATAAGGGAATTAAGGTTATTTGATTAATAAGAGACAGAAGTAAAGATGGAAGAAAATAGGATTTTTAAAAAATATATGATTAATTTTAAAAGGCCTCAATTATATGAATATGCTTAAAATTTAATTCTTACATCCGTTAATATTTTGTTACAGTGTAAAAATGTAAGTAATCAGAATAAAAAAGCTCCAATAAAAAAAGAGAAAGAAGAAAAAAATGAAAAGAAAAATGCCAATAAAATAAAGGAAAATGTAGAGATAAATCCAGATATTCATGGAGAAAATGTTAGTGAAGATGAGGGTCCGATTAACAATCAAAAGAAAAAAGGTTAGTCTGAACTAAATTTTATCTATAGTTTTAAGTATAGTAAATGTGAATTTTTGAAAATATTGCTACCTGTTTTCCTCTGTGTATATATTAGAATTTAATTGCAACTAATATTTTAGAAATGATTGTATTAGATCTATATTCTTAACATTATACTTTTATATTTTATATTTGAAGGTAATAAGCATAAATGGGTACCACTTCATTTAGATGATATGAAGCCAGATAACCAAGAAAGGCCAGGATCTCAGAACAGTTCAAGATCCCAGCCAGAAACCAGCAAGCTTGTGCCTCACAACAACAGACGCAATGAGGCAAGAACTAGTATGTCACTTAAAATTCTGGTGGTTTATCTTGCATATGTCGTTGATGTCTGACTATGGGAACTTCAGTTGTGTAACTGCAGAACTTTATTCTTCTGTTTCCAAAAGGCTGGCGAAGGGATCGGGAAAAGCGAGAAGATCATGATGAAGTTTCGAGTGTGAGAAGTGAAGGTGGCAGCGTTAGAGGATTTTACAGAGGACGAGGGAGAGGCAGGGGAAGAGGAAGAGGACGTGGAAGAGGAAATCCTCGAAGTATGGAAATAGAAAATTATTAAGAAAAAATGGTATTGAACATACTAAATTGCAAAACTAGCCATAGTTACATGGGTTGCTTATAACATAATGCCAACTCATGGCCTGTTATATGAATTAGTTTTATAAACTAATAATAAATAACAATTTGAAATGGGCTTAGGTTTTCATTTGTGAACAGACAGAGAGTGCCTGGCTCATGTAACAAGCAATTATAATCTGTTGCTTAATAGGACATCATAGGAAATTCAAAATTTGCAAGTGTGATTTCAGAGAGTTGACTCTAATATCTCATCTTAAGAATCTATTTTTTCCTTCAGAATGTCTAACATTGTAACATTGTACTTTTGCCCAGACTCTGATATAGAATCTGAAGAAGACTTTGTAACATTTCATTTTAGGAAAGAGATATAAAAGCCAAGAACACATCAACAATAAATCAATTAAAACATATTGGATACTAGACTAATAATAGTATGAAAAACTTCTCTAAGAATGAAGAGTTGGGTATAAAATGATATCCCCCAGAGATTCCCCCTATCCTGATCTCTTTTGTAAAGAGATTCAGACTTAAATATTATAATAAAACAAAAATAGGAATGATTATTGATATACAAAAGTATTCAATGTCCCACTTTTTCTATGTTCAGAAATCTTGATCCCCCCCCCCCCAGTTAAATAGCCATATGAACTTTTTTCTACTATAAGCCAAGCCATGAAACTGAATTGAGTCATGTACATTTAAGGAAGCTAGTAAAAGAATCTAAGCCACTAATCCTTACCCTCTGAGAATAAGAGGAATAGATGAATATGTATGTATGTATTGATTATGTTGACAATGACATTATGTCATTGTTAATGCTTAGTAACAGAAAAAGAAATAATATATTTTATTGTTGTTAGTTGCGAAATCTGTGATACATTCTGTGATTCCTTTATAAATATTCTGTGATTCCTTTCTCGTATCGAATCAATCAGTGAAAGCTTTCAAGGGTACATTTATTTAATCTACTTTTTTCTTCTGCTAATTTTGAAGTGAACCATGACTATTCGTGTGGCTACCGAGAACAGTATAGTGAAAGGACTGATCAGCCATTTCAGCCAGATCTTAGCACTAATATGATGTATTATTATGATGATGGGACAGGAGTGCAGATGTATTCTGTGGATGAAACATTGCTTAAAGAATACATTAAACGCCAAATGTAAGTAGATTGCGTAATGTATGTGCTACAGAGGAGTGAGGAAGCCAAACTTTAAATAAACTGCTTTTGAAAACCTTAGCTTTTTAATGTATCAGTATCAGCATTGATTGGAAATGGATGTTTATTCTTTTACTCACATTAAGCATTTTCACTGAATTTCACTGACACTCTTCTTGCTACAAAAATTTTTTTAGTATGTTTTACCTTATGTATTACAGTGTGACAAATTCACATGTCTACAACACTGTAATTATGAAATTATCATTATATAAGACAATTTTCTAAAGAGGTTTTGATGGTTAGTTACTATATTGTATTTGAATTGTAAAAATTTTTACGCATGGATAGTTATAATTCAATAATATACAAATAAAATTAGAATAAAAATCTAAATGCTCAATTATATCAAAAACTAATACTGAAGGAAGTCCTAGTTAGTTAGTTAGTTTTATTGATTAGCCTATAGGCCTGCGATGGCGAAACTATGGCACAGGTGGCACATGGAGCCATATGAGTGGGCACGCGAGCTCAGCTCCGGCACGCATGCATGCGCCAGCCAACTGATTTTCGGGCCTTCTGGGCCCAACAGAAATCAAGAAACACACTGTTTCCGACCTCCGGAGGGCCTCTGGGGGGGTGGGGAAGGCCGTTTTTGTCCTCCCCAGGCTCCTAGAAAGGCTCTGGAGCCTGGGGAGAGCAAAAAATGGGCCTACCAGGCCCACCGTGCCATCACATGCCAAAAGCGGGGGGAGCATGGGGGGTGAGGATGCATAGAATTATGGATGTGGGCACGCGTGAATGTGACCCCCACTGTGCTCCTCCCGCTTTTGGCACGCGATGGCGGAAAGGTTAGCCATCACTGCTATAGGCCATATCAAAGGAAGAAAGTCCTATTAATCAGCTTTCAGAGGACAAGGGCTCCCCATACTTATATTTGTGCTAACCTAAACATTTTTAATTGTTTTTTAGCGAGTATTATTTTAGTGTAGAAAACCTGGAAAGAGACTTCTTCTTGAGAAGGAAGATGGACCAGCAAGGATTCTTGCCTATATCTTTGATTGCAAGCTTCCATCGTGTGCAAGCTCTCACTACAAATGTAAACTTAATATTAGAGGTAAATCATTATTTCTAAGTAATAACAAATGTATATTACATTTTCACCTTTAAAAAACATTTTAACAAAACATTTTTTTTTTATTTGGACGCTACTATCTGTAATTTCAATTTGCATTTAAAATAGATCCATTGAATTAATGATTAAAACAATTATTTTGTAATGAACAATGAATTTACACTTTATATTTTTATAAAAATTATATGAGTGAGATGGATGGCATATAAATTTAAAAATAAATTAAAAAAATAAAAATAAAATCTGGCCTAAGTAAAGAAAATTCAAGCCTAGCTTGTCCAATATATAAAGTAAAATAAAAAAAAGAAATTGAAAACTATTAAAATATATTGATTGCTTATTATAGACTATCATTATTTTCATTGTCCAGGTAACTCTTTTACTGACTACTCATTCAGCATCCATTCAAAGTTGTAATGGTGCTGAACAAGGGCTGCTTAACAACTGGTCCTCAAAGTTCTAACCTTTGCAGTGCTCCTACAATTACATGATTGCAATTTAGGCATTTGGCAACCAAGTCCCACTTATGATGATTGCAAAATTCCACAGTTACTTGATCACCATTGATGATCTTGTCTGCCAACTTCCCTGAAGCAAAGTCAGTGGGGAAGCCAGCAGGAAAGATCACAAGTCACTCAATTAAGTCCCTATTCTGATCTTCCCATGCACTATGCCATCCCTCCTTCCCTGTGCTCTCACACCATACCTAAGTCATTCTTCTATTTATTTCCTTGTGTTTATATGTGTGCACCCAATTGCTTCTTTCCTGCACTCACATACACATATACATACACTTCTCCTCTGGGCCTCCCCGTGCTCACATGCATGCACCCAAGTTGTTGTTTGGGCTTCCCATTTAACAACCTGCACATCTTGGGTAATGACAGCAACCAGGACTGCCTTAAATTGCTATTGCTAAGCAATGTAGTCATGTGACACGCTTTACAATCATATAACTTAGTGATGGCAATCTCAGTCCCAATTGCTGTCATAACTCATATATTACTCATATAACTTATATTTTGTGCTAAGCTAAAGCTAAACATTTTAACTGTTTTTAGCAAGTATTATTTTAGTGTAGAAAACCTGGAAAGAAGAAAGATGGACTAGCTGTCATAACTCATATACACAGATAATATCAAAGATTACAATTACATATTTCATTTAAAAAGGAATTTCCCAAAGTATACATCAAATATTGCTTATAGTTCAGGGAAAAGTTAGCTGTTTCTAAATGGAAATTTGTTTAACAGATTTTTGCAAAATTTAGAAAATCAGGCCATCTTGAGAAGTGAAAACAAAACAAACCACCATGCAAAGGTCATTGTTGGCTTCGTAAATATTTATCAAAACAGAAATAACTTGTATTTTATAATCTTTATGTATCAAAGTTAAGGTCCTAGTGTTAAGCATAATTGCATTTTATTTACATGCAGGTTAATTAATATGTTTATTTGTATAATACAGGCCTTAAAGGACAGTACTGAAATAGAAATAGTAGAACAGAAGATGAGGAAAAGGATAGAACCAGAAAAATGGCCAATTCCAGGTCCCTCTCCACGTAGTCTTCCACACACGGACTTTTCTCAGCTTATTAACTGTCCAGAGTTCATACCAGGGCAGATTTTTGGTTCACATACGGGTAAGATGTTTTTACTTCAAATTGTATTTTAAGGCTCTGTATATATAAAGACCCAGATATCCCATTTTATCCAAATGGCAATTTATAAACTACCATTGGCCATTACTGCTTCAATTTTCAATTTACTTCCATTAATTTTTTCCCTACTTCTATTCTTGAAAAAATAGAAAATGGAAAATATAACTAGACTTGTAAGCTATATTTTCTTGCCTTTAAGAGGCAGTGTCTGTATAAAAGAGGTCATGGTATCAGTCAGAACAATCAAAGTTTCCAGTTTTCCTCAAAAGTTCCTCTATGCAATTATCATTGACTTTAAGAGAAAAATAAACATACTTTCAAATTGTACATTGTCTCCACAGAGTTTTGATTGATGACCCTTAAGGCAGTGGTGGGATTCAAGTAATTTAACAACCGGTTCTTTGCCCTAATGATTTCTTCCAACAACCAGTTTGCCAAACTGCTCAGAAAGTTAACAACCGGTTATCCCGAAGTGGTGCGAACTGACTGAATCCCACCACTGCTTTAAGGCCTTTTTAAGTATTTGGTGATATACAGCCAGTTATTGTATAAGCTTTTGTGCAGAGTTAGGATAGCAAAAAAGGAAGAAAACACTGGATTTCTTCTTCATAGATCAGACTAAAGGAATTGCTCCAGCTAGAGCAATTCTTTCCACATGTTAGTTTCTGAGCATAACTATAAACTTAATCATTTGTTTGTATGCCACCCACTTTTAAAGATGCTGAGTAGTTAGCAATCAGACACATAATAAAAAATGACTCCTTCAATAAAAAACAAACTCATCCAGAAAGAATAACAAAAAATCCTAATGATATAAGGAATGAAGTAAAATGAGAAGGGATCAGGAGCAGAGATGCTGTTTTCATGATGCATTCCTAGATTCTAATGTATGAAACTTACTCCTCCCAGCACTCTTCTTTTGGGATGGACCGTTGGTTTTTAGCAACAGCTCAAGTAGGAAAAGCTAAATTGTATTGGGCATTAAGGTCTCAACAAAACAGAGTAATCTCATCTTGCCATTTTAATAATGGCGTCTCAGTGTTTTCAGTCTCCTCGTCTTTGTAAAGGTATCCCTGTGGATTTTACTCTGCTAGTCATTGGCAACCATAGGGATTGGTCCTCATCTCTATTTCAAGGCCATTGAGCCAGTGCTATCCGAAGACATTTCCAGTGATGTGGCCAGCCTGACATCACGGAGTGCTGTTACCTTCCCAACAAAGTGATATCTATTTGTCTACTTGCATTTGTATGCTTTCAAACTGCTAGGTTGACAGGAGTTGGGATGAGGACAGGAGCTCACCCGGAAAAGATTATTATTAGAAAATTTTGAATATCTGCCTTATATTCTTTCTTAGCTGTTTTCCCAGTAATATTGCATAGTTTCTGTTTTGCATTAAGTTGAATCAAAGAATAACAGCAGCTTAGGCAAAGATTCAGAGAGGGGTATTGAATTGAACTGAACTGAACTTTGGCCAAGAGTGATTTGACACACAAAGAATCTGTCTCCAATACAGAAGCATTCAGTGTACATGCAACACAACAGAATCATCATCATCATAATACCAATAAAAGGGGGGAGTGAAGAAGATAATGATAAATAATAATACCACAATTACACTACATGGGTCAATAGACATAGACATTAAACAGTACTGTAAGAATTAGGGGTTCATCAGATGGATGGCCAGGGATGAATTATTAGGGATGAATTTGAAATGGATTGCCTTTCAGAATTTCCCACTTCTGTTCCAGACTTCATTCTCCCAAAGCTCCCTAGGCTAGCAGAAAAAAATAATAATTCCCAAATGTCCCTGTTTCTGACTGACAAAAAATTGCTGAATCCTGTTCTGTCTAGTTTCTATAAGATAAACACCTTATCTCAAATTATGGTCCCAGTGACTATAAGGGCACATCCATCCGTTGTATTGACAACAATAATGAAATGGTTTGCCATTGCAATATTTGAGGATATTCTTCAACTTTGAAGTTTAACCTATAGTTTTCAGATTTCCTGGTGGTCTCTCAGCCAAGTATTACACGGCCTGACCCTATTTAACTTCATATTTCAGATAAGATCATTGATGTACTGCAAGGTACTGCCTTGCTTTGTCTATTGTTTATGAAAATATGATTTATATCCTACCCTTTTAATCTGATGTTTAAAATCTCATATAGATTAAAATTACAAAATATTAGATTCCAATCATTTAATAGTGAAAAGAGGAAGCTTTATAGATATTTGAACGCTAGACGTTTGCTGACCATACACTATTTTTGAAATAATGTGTTGTATAGCTTGAGAATAATGCAATAGGTGGCTTGTCTTATGTGCTAGAAAAATAGACAATTGAGAGAAAGAATATTTTCAAACGAGCTAATGCTGCAGTTCTTAATAGCAACATATTATATTTCAAAATGTTTGGTTTAAGTCAGGAATATACAATTGTCACAAGACACAAAATATGGGTATTACTAGCACCAAAAGTGGGATTAATTTTAAGAATTGAAATTAATTAATTAATTATGCCTACAATTCTGTCCATAATACCTCCCACCTCCATCCTTCCTATTGAAGAGGGCATATGTTTGGCTCTGTCCACATAGTCCAGGATGGGATATTAATGGTTTATGAGATCCTTATAGGGTAAGGAGGAATACCAGCATGGACAGGACTTTTTAAATGTGAATTTTAAAAAAATAAAAAATATAGTTTATATTCTTGGTTGTTTGATGGAGGTACAAAGTTCAAGATTGTCGTGTGTCTTTTGCAGCTAGCTGGAACAAATATCATATACTAAGTACTGATTTATTTGGCTAGTTGTTTTATATTTCCATAGCACACTATATGAAACATACTCCAAGCTACAATATAATCTGCATGAGTTTAATCAGCGTGTCAGTTTGGATTGTATCTGTTATGAGATATAAAGTAGGAGAAAACTTCAATATTCATTTTGTTTTATCCTTGATGCCATTATTTGTTGTATATAAAAAAATTAAAACTAAATCTATACTATCATCACTTATTTATTTAAGCTTTAAGATATTTTTACACTGTTTATAATCACCAGAAAGAGCAAAAATTTTATAAATTTTATTAAGCAATAGGTTGATTGATAACAAAAAATGGGCTGATCTTTCCAAGCACAGAAAATATTTTTCCATTTTAGAATCTGCACCAAGTTCTCCAAGAATAGGAAGTCTAAATACTAAGAAAAGCATTGAAACAAGCAATCTTGAAGTAATATCCAAAGCATTATCTACAAGTCTCCCAGATTTGGATTCTGAACCTTGGATAGAAGTTAAAAAAAGACATCGTCCCTCCTTAGTTAAGCCAAAGGTAATGCTTAAAATGTTAATTTTAATGCTTGTATTTTTTTTAAAATCCCTCCTATAAATGTAGAACAAGTCTAGGGAAAATAGGTCATATTTAGACATGATTCCCAGAGAAGATATCCATGAAATTTTGTCTATACATCTAACTTATTATGGTTGTTTCAAACAAAGTAGCAAACAAAGATCGTTTTGACAACACAGCATGACATAATGAATTATATGCATATGTACCCACTTATGTTCAACTGATTTCTGGTATTCTTTGAATAGATTGTAGAAAGAATTGTATTTAATTGCTTCTCTGGACAACAGTTAGGATTAGATCTGTCAACTGTTTGCTTCTTGGAAAGGAAATGCATATTAAGATCGCAAACGCAATCATTTGTTAATGCAGTTTTGAAAAAAGAAGAAAATAATATGTAGAATCTATTGGCCACAGTACTGACATATTTAAATTCGTTAAATTCATTAATGTGTACATTCTGTTCGGTTTTATTTTATTAAGCACGAATGTTTAAATTGCTATTTCTGCTGATAATTGAACTATTATTTCTCCATGTAAATATTTTTATTTTTGCAAGAATAATAAACAATTTTATGCCATTTTCAGGAATCTGGGTCTGGACGTGAAGAATTGACAAATCAACAACTGCCACCACCATGTTCTGAAGAACAGGAAGAACTTGATTTTTTGTTTGACGAAGAGATGGAACAAATAGAAGGCAGGAAGAATACATTCACAGAATGGTCAGAAAGTGATTCAGATTATGAAATTGATGATCAAGATTTAAATAAGATTTTGATTGTGACACAGACCCCACCGTATATGAGAAAACATCCTGGAGGAGATAGAACTGGCAACCATGTATCACGTGCAAAAATTACATCAGAACTTGCCAAAGTTATTAACGATGGATTATACTACTATGAACAGGATTTGTGGATGGAGCAAAGTGAAAATGATTGTATTGCTATGAAGGTAATTATGAGTTTGAGCAATGAATATACTGTAATTTAATGAATATGGCTACTATTGCCATAACCCTTCAGCACAGTGGATGAAAATATATTTGAAGAATCTAACAAATTCTATTCATAAGTAAAGACTGGGAAGGAAGCTGTTTTAAAATCAAAGTAATAAAAACTCAGTCATATAATTAATTGTCTCTTGAAACTGAGTGGAAAACTAAAACACAGCTTTGAATATTTGCAGTAAAGCTTTTTTTTCACGTAGTAATGTAAATGATGTATTACTAGATCATTAGCAGTAATTGATATTGTTTAACCAAATATATATTTATTTCAGAGGATAAGATGGGAGACAAGAACTATTACTTTTTTCTTGGATAATTAGGGTCAGGTCTTTGTCTAAGTGTTCTCTTAATCCTACAATTTGAGTAATTTATTTGATGAGAATGATTTTATATTGAGGGCATAGGATATGAATTTGAGAAAACTGAAAACAATCATTATGAGCACCATAATATTTTAGTCCTCTGTTACCGGGTAGAATAATTATTTCATATTTTAAATTTATTTTGTAGAAAACACTTTAAATTATTAGCATTAAATGTATTGTTTATTTTGCATTTTTCCTGTGGACTATTATTCTTGTTATAGTAAAGTTTTACACATTTTAGCAAGAAGTTGAAAATTTTAAGAAGTTACATCTCATCAGCAAAGAAGAATTTGACAGCCTTACTCCTGAATATGTAATGGATTCAAATCAGGATGATCCTCCTGGTCCTTCAAAAGGTATGTATGTCTGATATTACAAAAAAAAGTTACACTATCAAGATGACAATTCAGTATGATAAAATATGGGTAAAATTTTAATCTTTTCTCCAATATTAACATGGTGTTTGAGCTATTGCTAATTGATTTTTATCCCATTCAATTACAAGAGCTTTCTGTATATATGTATTTAGAACATATGTGTAGAATGGTTCTTGGTTGAATATTTCATAATTTCTTACAAAACAATTAGCATTGTTTTGATTTTCATTACTTTGAACTGTTAAAAAGAATTATAATTTTTCATAAACTGTTGCTACTAGACCAAACAATGTTTCATTTTGAGATAGTGTAAAAGGTTAATCTATGGTAGCAAAAAATCAGAACTCTAATATTTTTCAATTGTAACTTTTATAAAAAGGCATAAACTTTCACCAGCTGCATTTCACTTCATCAGATACATAGATTATTTCATGGTAGTACATAATTAGAGAACATAAATGTGAAGTAATAAATGTATGGTTTTTATAATTTCCATTATCTATTTTGTTCTTTTTACATTTAATCTCAATTTAATTTAAACTTTAATATCTGGTGATATATATTACACACGAGGAAAAAAAGTTGAATACATAAAGGATAACAGAAATATGCAAAATAAGATAAGAATAAATAAAAATAGGCCCAGTGAAATAGAACAGTGCTATTGAGACCAAGTAAGATAAAAAGATACTATACGTATTAATCATATGGTCTTTGTAATTAGATGTTACTGAAGAACTGGCTTGTCAACTGTTTGGTGTCCAGGAAATACCTCCAACAACAATGGCTCGCTCACTGCCAACAGCTGTTCCTGAATCTCCTGGAGTTCACCCTACCAGAACACCTAAAACACCTCGTACACCAAGACTGCAAGATCCTAACAAAACACCAAGATTCTATCCTGTGGTTAAAGAAGCAAGAATTATTGATGTTGGGGTAACCAAAACTAAAATATATTTCTGGATCATAGTAAATTATTGCTATTACCTCCAGAGAGCAGTTTTTGAAACATGTTGTATTCCTTGCTAGGTCAAAGCTGTTAAATCTCTTTTGAAATGCATTGGTTAAGACTAATAGTTGAGTAGTCAGCCATAACCAACTTTATGACCTCATAATGCATATGATGTGTAAAGTGAAATTTTATGAAACTGGATTTTAATTAGACACTGATTCTTCAGAAAAGTGGCTCCAGTCACACCAGGGAAATATAATGCTATATTTTATTTCAGACACGAAGGAAAAGAAAAACACGGCATAGTACCAACCCTCCATTAGAAAGTCATGTTGGCTGGGTAATGGATTCCAAGGATCATAGACCAAGAACATCTTCCATAAGGTAGAAATAATTTATTATGTATTGATAGTCTTAATTTGTGCATGTTCTTATAATCACTGATGAAGTTAATTTAATTAGTTGGTCTTTCAAAATATGAAAAAGTGGAAGATGTGACTTTCCTAAAAGCCACATATACTCAAAAATATACTCACGATTTTAGGTGTTATTTCCCCAGTTGAATCTGTGGCAGTTATAAAACTAGTAAAAATGAGATGTGACATTTTTTAATTTCCTTTCCATCCTTCGTTTGGAGTGTACTTAAAAGAGTGAAAGTTTACACTATTAGGTGTACAAACAGATAAGGTTGCTTTGGTTCTTTTTTCTTTTTTCTTACTTGACAAATATAGTTAACAAAGCAATATATTAAATGCTTGCCCACAGTCAAATACAGAGCTATAAGTACTTTGTTTATTACTTAGAATTGTTTTTCATTGTATTTATTGTATGATTACATATTGTATAATTAAAACCTTAATGTTTTGAAATGTTTAGAATCAATAGATTTGGATAGATTCAGAAAAGTTAGCATACTTCTTAGGGAAGTGTGCTGTGATAGAATGCAGGCAACTGATAGCCTGTCCTAAAGCAGGGGTGTCAAACTGGCGGCCCATGGGCCAGACACTTCATACATAGGCCACGCCCACCCCAGCTCTCTGAAGGGGAAAAAGGTTGCAAAACATCATGTGACAGCAACGTGATGCCACAAGTTTTACACCTGTGTCCTAAAGCAATAGTCCCCAACCTTTCTGGGTCCACGGACTGGGGGCAGTGGTGATAGCAGAGGCAGGGTCGATGGTTTCATGCATGCAGTCTAGATCCTGCTTATGTGCAAATGAAGCTTCATGTGCTCGCTGGTTCCCAACTGTCTGGGGATCGGGGACCCTTGTCCTAAAGTTTTCCCATATTAAAAGTATTACAGATAGTCTTCACTGAATGTTTATGACGGAATGCTTAGTGACTGTCAGAAGTTGTAAACTGTTTTCAAAGTTCTGACAGAGAGAGAGAGAGACAGATGCGGTCACGTGGTCTCATTTTGGGAGCTTGGCAACCAGCTCATATCCATTTGCAGCATCCCGTGGCCACATGAATATGATTTTTGGCTTCTTTTGCTGGTTTCAAGCATTTACTTCAGGTTCCAGCAAAAAAACACCCATGGAAGAAAGTTGACTCATTTAAAGGCTACATCCGCTTAATGACCTTAGTTTCTACTTAATGACTTTCACAAAAATGGTTTAAAAATTTGGCATGTGACCTGTTTAATGATTGTCATGATTTCGGGGCTAAATTATGGTGGTAAGTTTACCCTATGAGTGGAAAGCAAACATGTTGGGAAAGAGGAAAATTATTTCTCATGTAACCATATTACTGATAGTGGCTTTCTATGTTCTACCATTTTTTGGCACAGATAAATGCTGGTGTAGAGGGTAAGACATCAGACTAGAAACTGGGAGACCATGAGTTCTACTCCTGCCTTAGACACAAACCCATGACCTTAGACAAGTCACTTTCTCTTAGCCCTTAGCCCTGATGAGACAATGGCAAACCACTTGTGAAAGACCTTGCCAAGAAAACCACAAGGCCTTGTCCAGCCAGTCTCCAAGAACTGTACACGATGGAATGGGAAAAAAAAACTTTCATATAAACTCATGTCATAGTTGTATGCTCATTCTGAAAGTTCAATTTAACATATTTTGTGAAATGACTACTGTTAATGTTAGAAATTGAAACAGTCTGCTGAATTATGTTTTTTATAGCATTACAAAAGGCATTTTTGAGAAAAATCTGAGACTTGTTTGTTTCATTTCACATAGCAGTTCAAACGCATCACCACTAGAAGGTGCTCCGCTGTCAGGAAGTTACGGATGTACCCCTCATTCACTTCCTAAATTTCAACATCCTTCTCATGAACTTCTGAAGGAAAATGGTTTTACTCAGCAAGTGTACCATAAATACCGCCGTAGATGCCTAAATGGTAAAAATCTAATATTTGTCATTTTTAATTGGAAGAAAAAACATATTTTAATGTATTAATTTATTTATTTAACATATTTAGAAAGTACTCATCTTCTCATAGAGTGTTGTATGAGTAAATAATGTAAACTAAATAGTGTTGTATTATTTCCAAAAATAGGAAAGTTCATTTCAACAAAACGTTGTGAAATGCACTAGGTGAATAAACATTCATTCATATCTGCTTCTTCACTATATTCTAATGCTCTCTTTTCTATTTCTCTCACAATACTCCTAAGGGTTTTTTTAAGCACATGGTAATGAAATGAAAAAAAGTTCATTGGTCAATAAATCACAAGCTTGAACCTTGTTGGAATATTAATTTTAACACACTCATAGATAAATGTGATACATGATTTTAATATTCAGATAATTATTTTCAAATTATTAGCTAGGTTGCTACCTTTATAATATATTTTAGTATAAATTGTTAATTAGAGGAAATATACTGTCATTCTAAGCAGGTTGCTTCATACTATTATCTTATGTTCCCCTCTTGTCTCTAGAAAGGAAACGGTTGGGAATTGGCCAGTCTCAAGAAATGAATACACTCTTTCGTTTTTGGTCCTTTTTTCTCAGAGACCACTTTAATAAGAAAATGTATGAAGAATTCAGGCAACTAGCTCTAGATGATGCAAAAGAACATTATAGGTAATACTAAAAGTTTTGTAGTTTTGTAAAATTATACGTAGTTCAATATTACATATATAACATTAGTAGTACTGGTGTGAAGTTTTAGTATTATAAAATAGAATAGTTCTTCAAGCAGAGAAAAGTAACAGGAATTATTTTCCACATGATACAAGCTGTTAGGTATCACAAATGAATATAAAAATAATCTGATAGACAATTGGATCCCACCCTGCTCCATTTTGTTCATAACTAGCATTTTTTTAAAAAAATACAAACAGTTGAATCTCAAAGTATAAAATATGTTAAAGGATTTGTCTTGCTTTAAGCAAAAAATAACAAAATGAAACATTTCCTGATTCTGACTCTTCTCTTCAGGTTTAGTTGTGTTAATCAATCTTAAGAGTTGGACTAAATGCTAACTCTTCTCTCTCTCTCTTTAAGAGAGATTACTGAGGTATTGGGGGGCAGCGGATATATAGGAAATGAAATAGTCATCTCTTGTTTATGATGGAAAATTGGAAATGTATTGCTTCCCAATATGAATATTTCTATTTAGCTTCTATGGCTGAGAATGTTTATAAATATATCATTCATATTTTTGTTTAATATTCTTTAAATTTCAAATATTAATTGTACTCAATGTGAACATTATTCCTATTGTCTTGCCTTGTTGCTCAATGCTGTTTCTCTCTATGTATGTATGTATGTATGTATGTATGTATGTATGTATGTTTTCTGAGGTTTTCACGGGTGTTTGTATGTAGGTCTTTGGTTATTCGGGTTTTCTCCCGCGTAAAATTGGAAGTGTCTTGGTGACGTTTCAACGAAGTCTCATTCGTCATCTTCAGGCTGGTGTTTTCGGCTTCGTGCTTCTAGGAGAAAACCCGAATAACCAAAGACATACATACATACATACATACATACATACATACATACATACATATATTTTCTCAGGTTTTCACGGGTGTTTGTATGTAGGTCTTTGGTTATTCGGGTCTTCTCCCACGTAAAATTGGAAGTGTCTTGGCGACGTTTCGACGAAGTCTCATTCGTCATCTTCAGGCTGGAAGCACGGGCCGAGAACACCAGCCTGAAGATGATGAATGAGACTTCGTCGAAACGTTGCCAAGACACTTCCAATTTTACGTGGGAGAAGACCCGAATAACCAAAGACCTACATATATATATATATATATATATATATATATATATATATATATATATAATAATTTATAATTTTACTTTTCCTACTTATGTTTTTTAAACAAAGATTCTTTTAATTTTTGAATATTTTTTTTATTTTGAATTCACTAGTTCTATAACTATAATTATTATAATTAATTATATTTTTCTTAAATGTTATAGATTTGTCTGAAAAATGGTATGGTTTCCTGTTGAACAGCGGTTGGTAAGGAGACCTCTAAGGTCCCTTCCAACTCTGTTTTTCTGTTATAACTTTTAGAAATAGGTTGATAGAATGGTATATGGTATTCCTAATGTATTCACATTATACTTTTATATAAAGGCATTCTAGAGCTGATACATTTTTTATAAAGTTCCCAATGTGTAACAATAGCTGTTTTTTGCTACTATTGTAACTGAATTAAGGTTTGCAACAAATTATTCAAATTTTTAATTCCTGGGTTCAGAACTCTACTAGTAATATACTTCATGTCTAAATTATCATGCATAATATGCATAATTTCATACATTTTAAATCTAATTTGCTGCTAATTTTATAATTATTTCCTATAAGCCATATATTCAGACTCTGAGCAATAGTAGATTCCAAGGTGATTCTAAGAATCCCAGTCCTTTTTTCACTCTATTTTGAAAATTCCCATTGTGTTTTTCTTTAATTCTTCAGCTGTTTAACAAGCTGTTTTACTTGTTATTGTTGCTCACCTGATGTCTTGGCACATAGAAATGATGACATTATCTACTAACAAACTGATTTTAATTAATCCATCTTCCAGGAACTGATACAGAATTTCTGCCATTTTTTTCTCTCTGCAAATTGGGTCATATAAGTGGCGGATAAGAGCATAAAGATTCATTTGGGAATGTGTGGGAGATCATTCTTCCACTGCACCCGCCACTGCTGCTGGTTCATGGAACCAGAAAGGTTGGGGACCACTATTCTAATAGCTGCCTTGTATTCTTTTTTGTCCCTTTTGATAAGTAGAATTTAGCAGATTGTAATGTTTGATTTATTTAGCAAAACTGGAAAAACTTTATTATTTTCAAGTTTGCTCTATTCTAAAACTTATCAACTTTTACATGAGTGTTTAGCTTTTGTTCAGGGCTTTGTGCAAATCCCAAATATAAAATATGTTACCTGTATTTACACTATAGCTAAGAATGAATTAAAAGGACAGTTTGTGAGACGTACTTTTTGGAGGAATAAGTTAATTTCCCTTCAATAAGCCTTTTTTCTTTTAAATAACTAAAAACAGTAGTTGGTCTACAGCTTAAGCAGGATATACAGTGCATTCAGAAAGTATTCAGACCACCTTCACCTTTGTCAATTGTGTTATGCTGCAGGTGAATTTTTTTTTTCTCATTAATCTACACTCAGTACCCCATAATGACAAAGTGGAAACAGAATTTGAGAAATGTCTGTATATTTACTAAAAAGAAAAAACTGAAATATGATGTTGGCATAAGCATTCAGACCCTTCACTCTGTACTTGTTGAAGCACCTTTGGCAGATACTACACTTGATCTTAGCCAAAAGGCCAAGAAGCAAAAGAAAGCTTAAGACCGTATTGGTTGGAAACATGCAGAAGAGGCCTTCATCCTGCAGGGAATAGACAGTGACTAGAGTGATGATAATGAAACAACACAAACAAAAAGAACTGAATGCTTTTCTGCTTGTCTACATTATAAGAAAGCAAGAAAAAAAGTCACATGGAGTCAAATAGACTACTTATCTATTTATTTCTTGTTTTTTAGGTATGGCCTGGAATGCTTGTTCCGTTTTTATAGTTATGGGCTGGAAAAGAAGTTCAGGCAAGAGATCTTCAAAGATTTCCAAGAAGAAACAAAAAGAGATTATGAATCTGGTGCGTTTTTATATTTTTTGCATGATATTGTTTAAACTTCTTGCTTCATATTTTTTATATGCTAATCTGTTTTTTTTTTAGGCCAACTTTATGGGCTAGAAAAATTTTGGGCTTATCTGAAGTATTCACAGTCTAAAACTCCACCTATTGATCCCAAACTTCAGGAATACCTATGCAATTTTAAAAGATTGGAAGATTTCAGAGTTGATGTGAGTATTGACATTCTCTCAAACAAATTATTTTAAATAAACTGTGAGCACGATTTGTTTAAAAGAACAAAAAGGAGAAGGGCCAGTAACATCATCATTAGATGTATCTATAATCCATCCAGAACAAATGTGCATGGCTGAAATACCAGATGGAGACTGTTGTACAAGAACAAAGAATGACTTAGTACTGTGATGGTGAACCTATGGCATGTATGCCAGAGGTGCACGCAGCGCCCTCTCTGTCACCCCAGCTCAGCTCCGCCGCGCATACATGCACACCTCCCGCTGGCCATCTGGTCTTCAGGTCTCTGCCGTACATGTGCAGGGGGTGGGGTGCATGCAGGGGGGCCGCACACGCATGTGCAGGGGGCAGGATGCATGCACGGGGTTGGGATGCATGCAGGGGGCTGCATGCACGGGGCAGGGCACATGCAGGGCGTGCACACATGTGGGCATGGGGTGCATGTGGTGGCTGCATGCACATTGCATTTGGGTTTGGGCTTGTGCGCACATTCACTCGCGCATGCGGACACTTCGGGCACTCGGGCCAGGAAAGGTTAGCCATCACTGACTTAGTATGTACAAAGATTAAATTCTTAACATATTCTCATTGTGGCACTAGGCTAACCCTTCAACTGTTTTTGAATATATAATATTCAAAATATCGAGAACTTAAAAATAATATATTGATTATATATTTAATTATCAGAGCATTCTGGTAAATGGTAATAAGATGCCCTTCTCTGTTTTAGCCTCCGATTAATGAAGAATCTGGGAGAAAAAGGCATTTACCTGGTGAGGAAAGTGATCATCGCAGACATCAATCCAACACTGCTTCCAAGATCCTTGCTGGTAATTCCACAGCTGTTTCTCAGACGTGGGTCCCAATAAATTTTCCCACTACAAATACTGTACAGGAGTTGAATAACAGCATACACCAGAATAGTACTGCCACAAAATCAAGATGTGATATAACTGAGCAGTAGACTTTCAGTAAGCTTGAACCTTAAGATCAACTCCTAATGCCAGTATTTTAGCTCAAGGATCTTCAGGGAAAGCTATTTTAAAGCTTGATTAAAAACAAATGTATAGGAAAAAAAAGAATTGCATCTGCTTTCTGACAAGATTAAATTCCAAGTAAATTCCCTTTGTTCAATTATATTGAGTTCAAGCATCATGAGAGATCCTTGGGAAATACCTATTACTCTGTGTTGCTATCCCAAGTTACTGTTTACAGCAGCAGCAGCATTCCAATAGTATATATATAAATACTTTGGAATGCCTTACAATCCAGCTCATATTTTTTTGAGGAAGTTATATTCTTTTTGTAGTGTAGGAATGTTTTACCATCAGGTTATCTATCATTAGTTCTACTTATAAAAGCCAAAAAGAAAATAGTTTTGAGAGACATAGAGAATACATGCATTTAAATTGATAAATGCATTTTTTCAATAATAACACATGCTCTTCCAACACCTAGTTCTGAAATCTGTTTTGCTTTCTGTTTCTTTTGTTTCAGGGTTTTGAGTTGAGTATGGAGTTTTTAATTTAGGAACAGGTTGTTTAGTTTTAAAGATTTTTTTTAATGCCGATTCTTATTTCTACTTAAGCAAAGTAGTTTGCAAAGAGGATGAATTATGACTGTCTTGTCATAAATTTAGTAAATTTTATATATATATATATATATGTTTGAGAAAAAGGATAAAAAAATAAATAGGTCTCTAATCATCCTCCAGTTTGAAGAAATACTTGTATTTTTCTGTTTAATTTCTCTATTGTATAAGTGACTTGCATTTCTAGGAGAGATTATTTAAACAATTTAATTATATTTTAATATTTGACACAGTTTTAATTTAAAAGGGATTTAGAAGAAAATGTACTTAGACTAAAATAATTAATGTCAAAATCGCTTTAAATATGGTTAAAATCCCTTGTTTTACCTAAGACCAACTGTACTGTAATTGGCCAAAGTGTCACTTTCTTTAAATGTAAATGATTCATTGAATACACATTATTTATGTCAGGAGGTGAAAATTAATAGGAAGCATCCATGAAATAACTAATTGTAGTTATTGTGATTTAAATACTTAAAATAAGGGAATGGAAATCATTCTTCCATAAAATGGAAGAAAGTGGTAGAAATAGGTGCATTTTTATTAGATACAGCAAAACATATATTTAGCAGTCTTCAGGTTACTTTCACAAATAAAGCCTACTATTGTTGATGCCTTATTGCTGGGAAATACCCTAAGTGATCCAACATGTAGATTGGATTTCTGTGCTGGAAACTTTATGAAGTCCATTATATATTCCTAAAATATTGCTTGAGATTCTGAATTTAACAATTATGAATATATGTGCATATTTAACATGAAAATAAGTGGATTTCCCAGCTATTTCTAATGGAAATTAGCATTTAAGAACTGCTCTATTTTTTTGAAGACACTAGGAATTCATGATACCAGTTTTATATAGCATCTTTTCAGTTTGCTGAAGTTCTACAACTCAAATCTCTGTTCAATCTATGCCACCTCCTCCATGAAAATGATGCAGTTGTAAATTTGGATTTAAGCTGTATATAAAAGAATTATATTTACATTCATTTCTTTAAATCAAATGTGTGAATATTAGCTTTTAGTATGCATTCTTTGTGGTATATTTGCAGATTTTATAAAAATACAAAAAAAAAACTCGCTATGGTGTTGTATGTGTTCTTAAGCAATTTTGTTTAACTCAGTATGATAATTTTTTACTATTCTGAATTAAAATACCTAGGACTGTTTCTAGCAATAAATTAAAATAATGTTGATTATCATGATCACGATCATGAAAGATCATGAAAGAGAACCTATGACTTTCCAGAAGCTTTTGAGCTACAATTCTTATAGATTCAAGGTAAGGACTACTGATAGTTCAGCAACATCTTGTAGGCTAAATTCTTCCATCACTGCACTAGATGAATTGCCCGTTGTCCAAGTCAGTTATATATCCTGTTGGTAGAATTGTTCATATATGTTTCTCCAAAAAGTTCAATTATAGAAATGAAACTCTGAAGTTGAACTTTGTTCTTAATTATATTTTTAGAATCACATGAAAAGCCAAAATATTAGCTTCACTCTGAGTAACAAAACTGTTTTATTATCCAAATGATAACAGGAGTGAAATGGGATAGAAGAGACTTTTCTAAGTATATTCTTACATTGAATATTATAAATTTTGCAAATGCACAGCTCTTACCGTATTCAGATGTTACCAAGGTTCTAGAATTACTTTTCCTCCCTCTGCTGTATCCTTCACTATGGCTTGGATGCAGACAGTTGCTCTGTGCATAAGAGATGTGTGTAGATACTCTTTCCCAACATCCAGACTACAACATCATCTTGTTGATTTTTTAAAAAATAAGAATGTCTATCTTACTTTTGAATCAAAATTCTAGTGATGCTTTATAAAAATGTAATACTGTATAACAAGAGGGAGATTGTATTACCTGAAAGCATACAAATACAAAACAAGTCAAATGGAATTTACAAGGTAAAATGAAATAAAAGGTTAAGAGCGTGGTATTCCAAAATTAGAATACCATTGCAAACACTCTTTTTTACTATATTTCTCTAAGATGAAAACTATGTGGATGACAATCTTTACATAGCTTGGTTCCAAAATGTTATGAATACTATTCACCTGTCCAGACAAGACACTATTAATCTTTTGTGGGAAAAACAGAAATGTATTGGCTGTCATTAAATCCAATAAACAGGGGATATTTAAATAGACTTCTAATCCCTTACCTTTCAAGTTCACATAGCCATGACACTACTTTCTCTCTTTTTGCTATATATTGCTCTATATATCTAATTAAAATTAAAATTCTAATATTGAAGAAATATAATACATGGATGCTGTCAGTATAAGACAATTTTACACATAATTATCTTTTTTAATAAAGTATGACATAGAAATAGTTTTACTTTAACTTCCTCTGCCGTTATCTATTACAGTATTTTGTTCATATTCAGCAAGAAAGTGTATAACAATCACAAGATGATGATCCTGATCTCTCTCTTTCCCTTTGGTAGTTTAGTTAGCTAACATTAGAGTGGATTATAGTTGTACAGCTGTCTAGCTTCTTATCAATTATGTGCTTGACGATAAAAAAAAACCCTGGAAAAAATGGGATTCACCCTGTTTTTTAAACTGGCATTGATGTGAACAGCCTCTGAGCAATCCATGATCCCAAAAAGCCCCTACAAGTAAGATCAGACTGTAGTTTATAAATATGGACAAGTTAGGGATTCTAAGGTATAAATGGATATTTTAACATTACTTGAAACTCAAAAGATCCTATATACCCCCTTCCCAGTTTCCAGGTTGTAAAAGGAATTAAAAAGTTACATGGAGGACTAAACTGATTTTGCAGTTTAGCTCATCTCCCAAATCACAAAAAAATCTGACTGAAAATATTTGCCCCCACCTACTCTAGTACCATGTTACCAGTAATTTCCCTTACAAACCCTTGGTCACAAAAAGAAAAACAATCCCGCAAAAAAAAAAAAAACCCACACCTGGTTAAAAATGATTGCCTCCTTTTTAATGGGCTCATCAAAGAGGCAACATTATTTGAAATCAGTTTTTATTTCTATATTGGGTAGGAAGGGTTAAAGTGCTCAAATTTTCTAGCAAAATGTTCATGTGACAGATATTCAGTTAATATTCCTGAACATTAGGTATATGCTTAAATACAATTTGTTTTAAATACATAAACATTTATTCCATAAAAAAAGATTAGCAATAAAAGATCATAGAAGTATCTGGATTTTTTGTTGCTGAAAATAAATCATTTGGCAGTTGTACCTAAGCAAATGGCCTAGGTTTCCTCATACCTTTTGATAGGCAAAAGTTTCATAAAATGAGTAATAGCGGGGTAATTTTTCATAGAAAAATTGCACATAGGCAAATTCTAGAAATGCTTCTTGTCAACTTCTATTGGAAGTGACTATGGTGTCTCCTGAAAAATCTATTTGTGGTGCCATTTGTCCTAGGAAATTGGAATAGCCAGATTTTTAAATCATTTGGATCTACACTGTTGAAAACTGTAGAATTATACAAAAGAACTGCCTTAAAGAAAGAAGTAAACAGTTTTTTTAGTGATTGTAAGAAAACTCATTAGGCCACCTAATAATGAAGGACTCACTGGAGAAGAGCCTAATGCTGGGAAAGATTGAGGGCAAAAGAATGGGACAACAGAGAATAAGGTGGCTGGATGGAGTCGCTGAAGCAGTAGGCATGAGCTTAAATGGATTCCAGAGGATGGTAGAGGACAGGAAGGCTTGGAGGAATGTTGTCCATGTGGTCGCGATGGGTCTGACATGACTTCGCAACTAACAACAAAGAAAACTAATTCAAATATTTTTGCTCATGATAATCAACACATCTGAGCCACTCAGTTTCCAGGATTGAAGCAACATACAAACTATAATAAATCATACTCAAGATTTTTTGTAAAAATATACAATCATTTGTTTAGACCTTTTTTCTTTAAAAGGCAGTGCATAAACTCGACAGTTTTTGAAGAAATTGGGGTCCAAGGATCATATAAATTTATTAAAGATAGTAACCATGGCTGGGATGCATGGACCTTCTGGATCAGACCTGGACATGTTATGGCCCACAGGTCACATCTGGCCTGCGGGTGGTCTTAATCTGGCCCATGGGGCGGAGGATCTGTGGCGGCACAAGGGGCAGGGCAGCGGTGGAGGGCAAGACTGCAGTGCAGCATCAGCAGTGGAGTAGGGTGGCAGCATCCCTCCACAACAGCCCCTTGGAAAAATTCCCCAGCCATTCTGGACACATTT